GGGGGGGGGGGGGGGGGCGATCTGATCGCCTTTCCAGATGGAAGCCCCCGAGAGTTAACTCTTAGGAGGGGCGGATTCATCCCGGCTCTTTCCCTCCCTGGCCCCTTCCCCAAACCCAGGGCGCCCACAAAGAAGACGAGAGTGCCCAACTGGAGCTGCAGATGAAAACTTTATTGCACAAAGAGGGAAAACTGGTCAATCTGTACATTCAGTTCAAATACAGCCCGAAGGGGAGGGGAGGAAGGAGAAGAGAATAAATAAGGAAAGGAGCACAGAAAGGAGTGAGAGAAAAGAGGAAGGGGAGGGAGGAAAGGGGGACGGACAGACTACAGAACACAGAGACACAGAAGAGCTCCAGAAAATGCCCCTCGTCCCAGGTGGGGCAGGATGCGAGGGAAGAGAAATGGAAACGTAATTCATGGATAGCACCGTTTTGGGGTGGGGAAGATGCTGGGAGGACAAAATAAATGGCAGGCTAGACGCTGTGACCCCACCCCGCTCTAGGAGCAGTCTATGGGTTACGAGTGCAGGGGGGAAGGAAGGACCGGCAGGGTGACGCAGAAGATTTGGGGGAGGGGGTAGTCCTATCACAGCTTTCAAAAAAATTCACAGTAAATTGGGCTGGAAGCACGCTGTGCCACCCAAGACAGTGCGGTAAGGGGAGGAAAGAGGAAGATAAAACACCAAGAGGCTTATCGGCTTGTCCAGCTTCTCCCAAGACCCTGATAAAACAATCAGCAGGAGATGCACCCACTTGCCCCTTCCTTGGAAGCCATTTGCAATTATTGCCTTTTTATTGATCCCCCCCCCATCTCTTCCGTGCGGAAGCCACGGCTGTGGCCCTTCCCCAGGGCTGGGCGGAGACGGGGGCTAAGAGCCCGTGGCCTGAACCCTGCAAATTGCAGGAACAGACCCGGGTGCGAGGCAAGTGTCCCAACGAAAGTCTGTATGGAGAAAGGGAGGAAGTCAGATCTGGACCACGAAGAGTCAAAAGAGATCATCGGCCAAGCGTGTCCTTTCCAGTCCAAATGCCCACCCCCACCTCATCTTCTGGAAGGAGACAGACCCCCCCTCGACAAATGGGGAGAGCTGAACTTCTAGACAGACGCAAGAATTTGGAAGTGGAGGGTTTCGGAAATACCATTAACCCCCCAGCTTCTCTGAAGTCTCGGGGGCGACCGTCCTCTGCCTAGTTAGGGAGAAAGTCAGGTGAGCCGTCCAGGGCTGGGGCAGCGGGAGGCCGTGGGGGACCCTCAAGGGCAGTGGGGAGGGGCTGGCCCTCCCCCTAACATCTGTGTGACCTGGCTGAGTTGGGCCGCGGCTGTCTCCGACGCCTCTTTCAGTCGCTTCGTGTTCTGCTGCAGGGTCTGCATTTCGGCTTGCAGAGCTGCTTTTTCAGCTTTCTCCTGGGGGGGGGGAGAAAAAAAAGCAACCTCAGAATGGGGATGGGGTGGGGAAGGGGCTCTGCCACCCCTCTGCCCACCTTGATCATCTTGGCTACGGTGTTGGTTCAAATCCTTCCTGCGTCCCCGTTGAATGGCGAGATGGCAACGTTGTCATAATGGGGAAAACCACAAACCCCAAAACTGGAGCTAATGTCACGTTTCATTAAATTTAAAGTGTATTCGCCACCCATTTGCTTTAGAGGAGTGTTTCTCAACCTTGGCGACTTTAAGATGGGTGGACTTCAACTCCCAGAATTCCCCAGCCTGGCCCCAGCTCAGTAGGATTAAGATTCCCTACTGAGAAATGAGGGCCAAGGTACAGAGTTTCCAAAAATCTGGAAACTAATCCCTTTCTCATTGCAATAAACCTGCACACAATCTGCGAGAAACCTCTTTTCTTGCAGCGAGTTACTCTGAGGGGCCCGACATTTAACTGAAAGAAGAGAAAATTAAGGGGGACCTTTGTACCTGAAAAGCAGTCAGAAGAAAAGTTGGAACAAATTAGTTTCTCCCAATCTAAAGGCAAGACAGGAAAAAGATGGAAATGGCTAGAAGGTGATTTTAACTAGGTACGAGCAGCAATCTTTGAACAGCACAAGCTGGGTTCAACAGCAGAACAGCCTGCCACTGTGAGACAGAATCGTCTCACGGGAAATACTTAAGAAAAGGAAGGAGCTGCACATTTTTAAGATAATAGAGTCCCTTTGGGCTGAAAACATGGTCGATAAAATAAAGGGCACGCTTCTCTGAAACAGTTGTTTGCAAAAGTTATAGTCACATAGTGAACTACGTGGCACCAAAATCATGAACGGTAGATAGATATACACATATACCATGTCCTACACACACAGAAGTGTTAAAAAACATCACCACAATTACCGAACACTGACTCACGTATTATGTGGATCAAGATCAAATACGTTAACATTTTCCAGTCTATGGTGAGTTTGTCGTTTTGCCATTTTGTAAAAGGTTGCAAGAAAAAATTGTAAGAAAATATGTAATTTTGATACATCCTTATGGTTAGCAGACAAAGAGGAGGCATGGGTAATACATGCACACACACACGCGTGCGTGTGTGTGTGTATTTCTGCCTGAATTCTTGTGGGATCTTATGGGAAAGTACCAAAATCTTGTGAAATGCTGCAGTGCCACAAAAGTTTGAAAATGTCTGTTTT